ATATCTTTTTAAAGGTTTATATATATATATGCATAGTATATATTATAAAGGTTTATAATATATATTATGCATATATATATTCTCATATATTTACAACTCTGCCATAGATTCCTTCACCTTTGGTTAAAAAGTTAAAGCCCTCTCTATTCTCCTACCATATACAATCTTCTTCTCTTTCATTAAAAACACGCCGTTTTGCATAAAGAGAAATAAAATTTGTTCCCGTAAAACGATATACATTCCTCATTTCCTGGCTGTGACGGGTCCGAACTTTGCACGCCCCCCCCACGACACAGATTTTTAAAGAAAAGTATTTACGGAACCTCTCCCTGACACGCAAAGTTCCGAACTTTGCACGCCACACCCATGTGTGTGTGTGTGTGTGTATGTACACACACACACACACACACATGAACACACACGCACGCACACGCACACCTTACTCTATATTTGAAAAATTCACATAACTGGGAAACAAAAAAATAAAATAAAATAAACATCCAATAAACCTTAACCCGTGTTATTTCTCTTCTTTTCCTCACCCCGCTTTTCCAACCTGCCTGCACGCTGGGCTTCTCCAGAGGCACTCCGCTATGTGAGCAAAACCGAACCGGGCGAAGGGATGGCTAAAGGGCGGCGCTCCGCATCCTCTGGCCATCACCCTCCCCAGCTTCCTGCCGTCGGACCCACGCCGTCCCTCCCACGCCAACAGGTCTTGCTGTCCGTTTACATTTTCTTTCTTCCGTTTTTTTTTCCTGTTCTGTTTTGTTTTTTTTTGTTTTAGCAAGTCTTGGAGAGCCCGGGCGCCACCTCGACCGCCGAGACCCGATACTGGACCTTCGTGTTGGTGATGGCGCCGTGCTTCTGGCGAAGGTGAAGGCGCAGCTGGCTTTTATGGCGAAAATGGAGGTTGCACTTTTCACACTGAAGGGAGAGAAAGGAGGGAAACAAAGGAGAAACGAATCAGGACTACGATGAATTCGCTTGGACTAGATGGATTCGTAAAAAACAACAAGAACAACAACCACCTCAGGCCTTGAATTTCTAAGACCTCAGGAGGGTTTTCAAAGGACAAGGCCTTGGGAAGGTCATATCCTGCAAACAACTTGACAACAGCGATCAAGAATGCAATGGCAGAATCCTGTGGGTCGGTCATTCGTTCATTTGTTTATTAGTATTTTCTTTTGTTTTTGCCTAATATACTGTGTAGGCTAACACAGACTACCACGGTTGCCTGATCTGAAACTATTTCTTTAAAATATTTTTACTCTGCCCTTCTCCTTAAAAATGACCCAAGGCAGCTTAAATCCTTAAAAAACAATATTGAAAGCTAAAAACAATAAGAATACAAACACTAAAAAGGTTCAAACAAATGTCCCACTAAAAATGGTTTTTTAAAAAAGCAACAGCCAAACACATTCAATGCAGTGAGGTACAACCATCAATTTAAAAGCTCTTACTCAGCCCCCAGAAACCTCCAGCTCGGCATGTGAGGAATTTTTATGTGGAAAGTTGGGGTATAGACAGGCTACTACTACTACCACCACCACTACTACTATCACCACCATCGCCACTACTATTGCCACTACTACCACCACCACTACTATCACCACCACTACTACTATTGCCACTACTCCTACCAGCACCACCACCACCACCCACCATCGCCACTACTATTGCCACTACTACTACCACCACTACTATCACCACCACTATCACCATTACTACTACTATTGCCACTACTCCTACTAGCACCACCACTACTACTACTACCATAACTACTAGTGCTAGTAAAAGTACTATTACCACTACTAGTATAGTGGTGGCACTACCACTACCACTACCACTACCACTACCGCCACTGCCACTACTCCTACTAGCACCACCACCACCACTACTACTACCATTACTAGTAGTGCTAGTAAAAGTACTATTACCACTACTAGTATAGTGGTGGCACTACTACTACTGCTGCTGCTGCTGCTGCTGCTACTACTACTACTACTACTACTACTACTACTACTACTACTGCCGCCACCACTACCACTACACTAGCACCACCACAACTACTACCATTACTACTAGTGCTAGTAAAAGTACTATTACCACTACTAGTATAGTGGTGGTGGTACTACTACTACTACTACTGCTACTACTACTACTACCGCCGCCGCCACTGCCACTGCCACTGCCACTATTCCTACTAGCACCACTACCACTACTAGTGGTAGTAGTAATAGCCCCTCTCCCCCAAATTTCATTCCTTATGTATGCCCACATAAGAGCAAGTGTGCAAATGACAGCACCAATTCACTGCTGTGGCTTACACTGTTGCACTCATACTGGGCACAGTCTTTAAAAATGATTCTCCTTCCTTCCCCTGCTTTGCCGTTGACTCTGTGGGTGTCGAGGACCGCTGGTGGCCGATGGAGCATCCTCAGAAGGGACCCTGGGCTCTGTGTTCCGATCTTTGCTTCCCCGACAGGAGACCCTCGGCTTGGGGCTCTTGCCACTGGATGCCTTCTGGCTCAGCGTGTGGCTTCCAAGGGCCAAATCCAAACGCCTCTGGGATTGTTATTTCGAGAGCCTTGCCAGCCCACGCTAAGCTTTACCGCGCAACGAGGACAAAAATCCCCAAACCAGAAGGAAGAGGACGGGTGCAAAATCGAAAGCGGGAGGAACAAAGGACTTCACGTACATGGTAGGGCTTCTCTCCGGTGTGGATGCGAAGGTGACTTTTGAGGGTCTGCAAGTGCCTGAAGCGTGTACCACAGATTTCACATGGATAGGGTTTCTCGCCAGTGTGGATGAGCACGTGAGCTCGGAGGTGCGCAACCTGGAAAAGGAGAAAGAGGTATCAGGCGAAGGGGCTCCCATACAAATCACATTCTTGGCTGGTGGCTTCTAAATGTTGGTGAGGGCTAGCCCACCTCCAAAGAATGACTCATACAGTAAGACGCCCCTTACCTGCAGGATCAGTATCCACTGATTCATTTATCCGTGGGCTTAAAATAATATTAAAAGAAAAACTCTAGAAATATATATTTCTAAAGAGGACGTTAGCAGAACTGGCCACTAGAGGGAGGTAGAGCCACTGGGCTTGCTATTAAAACAGCATTCACTATCATCCGCGTTTTTCAGCATCCACGGGGGCGGGGACTTGGAACCAATCCCACACAGATATGGGGGTCTTATTGTACAGCTTGAACATTAATTCTCTATTGAAACAGGCGGGATATCTTTCTTAATCCTACTGCTAGTAATTCTTTCTGCAAGACCATATCCGTCTAGCCCGCTGCTACACTGCTACCAACTCCAACCAGCAGTCAGTGCTTCCTAGGTATCCAGCCAAGGCTGTACAGCAGGACTGCCACATTCGGTGACAGATTCGTTCCAAACCTTTCTGTGGATTTTAAAAAATTCAGAACACTGTTTTAATAACAAATGCTATAAATCATATGGTCTCTGTGTCCCTCTGGTGGCCAGTTCTGGTCATTTCATCATTAAAGATACAATGGTACCTTGATTTAAGAACTTAATCCGTATTGGGACTGCGTTCTTAAGTTGAAACGTTCTTAAGTCGCAGCACCATTTCCCATAGGAATGCATTGAAAACCATTTAATCCGTATCTGCTGTTTTTCATTCTTAAATTAATGCGCTGTTCTTAAGTCAAAGCATTAGTTCCCATAGGAACTTATGCAAAACCAGTTAATCTGTATCTACCATTAGAGGGTGAATTTTCTTCTTCTTTTGATCTAAGGTGAACTTAGGTCAAAAAAAGGGGCAGGAAAGTTTTTTTTTCTTTTGGTTCTTAAGTCGAGGCTCTGTTCTCAAGTCGAAGCAACTTTTTGCGAACGGAGCTGTTCTTAACTCGAATCGTTCTTACGTAGGGACGTTGTCAAGTCGAGGTACCACTATATTTGAAGGGATTTTCATTTTCATGTTTCCAGACCACAAATAACTGAATCAGTGGATACTGTACCTGTGGATAAGGGAGTCCTAGTGTATTCTAATTTCTACACCCACACACGTACATACATAATACATACATATGCACACCTCTTTTTTTAGCATTAGTTTATTTTCTTCTTAGAGACTTGGTTTTGTGGGATGTTTAATTAGTTGATTACTGCAGTTTTATCACATGTTTTATCCATTACGCTGTTGGTAAGCTGCCCAGAGTCGTGGCCTGGCTACTCAATGGGCGGGATAAAAATTTAAATAAAGAAATAATCAGCCCCAACCTGGCTGAGCTTCTAAAGTCAACTCAGATGAGGCCTGTAAAGGTAAAGGTTTCCCTTGACATTTTAGTCCAGTTGTGTCCGACTCTAGGGCATGGTGTTCATCCCCATTTCCAAGCCGTAGAGCCAGCATTTGTCCAAAGACCATTTCTGTGATTACGTGGCCAGTGTGACTTAGACACAGAACACTGTTACCTACCCACCGAGGTGGTCCCTATTTATCTGCTTGCATTTTTGCATGCTTTCGAACTGCTAGGTTGGCAGGAGCTGGGACAAGCGGCGGGAGCTCCCTCCGTCGTGGGGATTCGATCTTACGACGGCTCGTCTTCTGACCTTGCAGCACAGAGGCTTCTGCTGTTTAACCCGCAGTGCCACCATGTCCCCGTAAAGCGGGAGGTCCTCCCCAGAAGGGTGCCAGGAAGATAGGCTTTCCACTGCCACCCAAACTGGTCAATGTCTTTCTTCCCCTCCTGGGCACCGACCTGTACAAATCTCGCCCCGCAGGTCTCGCATTTGTAGGGCTTCTCCCCCGAATGGATCCGCGTGTGAGTCTTCAGGTTGGCCGGCCGGTTGAACTGGGCCCCGCAGATACTGCAGCGGTAAGGCTTCTCACCTGTCGCGACAAAGAGAACGGAGCCCGTTGAGTTCCAGGGTGGAAAAACAAAAAGGAAGCAGAGCAAAAGGTCTGAAGACGCTCTCCTGACAAGCACCCAGCAGCCAGCCTCAGACGAGAGGCTTCACCCGCTCTTCAGCTTGAAAGTTTTGGATCACTGGACTCTCCTGGGGCCCCATAAAGCCATGATCCTCAACCAAAGACACGCACCCCATTAAAACTCTTTTTTTGGGGGGGGGTGGTTTATGGAACACCTAGCCAGCACGACGCTTCTACTTTTGGAGGTTTTTAGAGAGGAAGTTGGATAGCCATCCATCAGAGATGCTTCCAGTTTTATTTTAATCGTCATTCACTGCATTGCTGGAAGGGACCCCGTGGGGTCATCCAGTCCAGCCCCTCTCGAGGAGGCCCGGGGGGGGATTCAAACTCTCAACCTCCGGCTTTGCAAGCCAGAAGCCTCAACCTCTGAGCTCTCCAACTCTCAACCTCTGGCTTTGCAGCCAGAAGCCTCAAGCCGAGCTCTCTGGCAGTTCATGTACTACCTTACGATCTCAGCAGTCTTAAGAACCCACCAAGGTAGATAAGCATTGCCCACATTTGAGAGATGGGAAGACCAAGGCCAAAAGAGAATAAAGCTGGCTAAATCCAGATTTTTTTGGGGGGGTGGGGATGGAAACTGCCTGGGTGAAGTTATTTGAACTGGCTGCGCTCTGGCTCAAAGCTCATTCTATTTAACCAAAACATCTGGAACATTTCACATCCTCCCGCCTTGTCCCAGATCACAGAGTGCTTTATAAATGGAAAGACTTTTAAGGTGGAGAACCATCCCAGTGCGCTCCCCCCCCCCCATGGCAAGGGCATGCAGGAATCGTATTTGAGGAGGGGGAGGGAATGACGACTTCCAGGATCCTCAGCCCATGGCTAGGGCAGCTGGGGGAATTCTGGGGGGTTGCCGTTTCAGGGAGGTTTTCAGGCACCTCCTCGGACAGAGCTAAGTTGCAGATTCTTAGACCTCCAAAACGGGTTGAACCTCTTGTCACCCTGGTGGTTAGAGAACGAAGGCTGAAATCTTAGGATTTCAAATGCTCAGTTTCATTTTGAGCCAGCCATTCAGGGGAAATTGACCCTCTGTCTCTCGGCGTCACCAAGATGCGATGGGGAGGCTGAAGGATTTCCTCCTGCTGTCACCCAGAATGTAATTTTATTTTTTCTCTTTCTTTCTTTCTTTCGAAAATCGGTCATGTGGTTTACCCTGCCTGCAAGCCACCTCTGCCACCACATTCCTTCTGATTTGTGGCACAACTCGCCGAAGCAATCATCTTGGACTACAACTCCCAGAATCCTCCCCCCAAAACCAACACCCAGCCAAGCTGGAAGACTCTGGGAGCAGCTATCTAAAAAAAAAAAAGAGCAACCTTTCTGAAACTCGAATTCTGCCGAAACGAACACCAAGACCAAGCTACCCGCCGGGAACTACGCAGCCCACCGAGGGGTACGGAAGGATTCGAACCCAGGCCCAGGACTTGAGAGAGCCACGAGGCTGCTCCCGTCAACCGCCTCCTCCTGAACAGAGAGCCTCTGGGAGGCCGTACCTGTGTGGACGGTTTTATGGCTGGCTAGGTTCCCCTTGTAGCGGAAGGAAGCCTGGCACCGGTCACACTTATACGGCTTGTCACTGTGCATTTGGAGAGAGTGTCTCTTCAGAGCCGCCTCTTCCGAAAACCTGCAGTGGCACTCGTTGCAGAAAAAGGTACCATTCTCTGCCAGAGACCGAGAGAGGAAGAGGGAGGGCGGTGAGATAAGCAAGCTTGGGGGCGCCCATGGGCTCACACACATACACACATGAGCACAGAGTAGGGCCGTTACCGGTGCCATTCTTTGGCGGTGGTTTAACTGGGAGACACTTAAAAGAGACCATTTTAAAAAAAACAACCAACGAAGGAATCCTCCACTGTACAGTGATGCCTCGCAAGACGAAAATAATTTGTTCCGTGAGTTGCTTCGTATTGCGACAATTTTGTCTTGCGAAGCGCAGCTTCCAATAGGAATGCATTGAAATTTAATTAATGCGTTCCTATTCATCTTGCAAAGCACGATCATAGAAAATTTTGCCTTGCGAGTCACCAAAAAAAATTGCAAGATGAAAGCGTTCGTCTTGCGAAGCACGGCCATAGAAAATTTTGCCTTGCGAGTTACCAAAAAAAAATCGCAAGATGAAAGCGTTTTTTTGTTGCACAAGGCATTCGTCTTGCAAGGCATCACTGTATTCTCAAAGGCTTTCATGGCCGGGATCCGATGATTGTTGTACGTTTTTTTGGGCTGTTTCAGAACATGGCCAAACAGCCCGAAAAAGCTACAACAACTATTGAATATCCCCCGCCCCTTGTGGATTTCGGCTAGAGACGAAAGAAGCGCCCCCGGTGGCCCAAACAGCCGTTTCTGCCCCCACCAGCCTCCCTGACTTCCAGAGACAGACATGAGAAAGGCAGTTTTGATGAGATGCAATCAAGGATTAAGCTTCCTTGCTCCTTCGTTTGCTTTTGAATTGACCTTGCAATGCCCCCCTTTTAATGACGGCATGATTGCAAGATAGATGGTGTGAAGTGGAACTTCCCTACCTGGTGCACAGGGGATATGACGCTCCTTCATGTCAGGAAACGAATGCCCGAACCTGTTCTACCGTCTGCCGTTATTCTTCTTCTTTGTCATGGGCAACTCCCTCGGAGGATCTGATGCGAGTTGACGTGTGACAGGAAACGGAGTACATACGGCGCAGTATGAGACAAAATACCTAGGCAGTCTCTTCGGGTGTCACGTGTGGGTCCTTGTTTGCGAAGCTTTTGATGCTTCCAGGCAGAACGTGCTTGCAGCTGTCATTTGCTTCTGCAATGTGTAACACTTTGAAAGGACCTTGCGATGCATTTGAACAGGAAATTTATAGAATCGCAGAATAATGGGAGTTGGAAGGGGCCTAATAAGGCCATCAAGTCCAACCCACCTGGTCAAGGCAGGAATCCGAATCAAAGCAGATCCGACAGAGGGTGGTCCCATTTTCTCTTGAACGCCTTCAACGTTGGAGCGCTGCCCACCTCCCCCCCCTCAGGCCATGGGTTCCTTTGTCGTACTGCTCTAACAGTTAAGAAGTTTTTTCCTGATCTTCAGCCTAAATCTGGCTTCCTGTCACTGACGCTCGTTACGATGTGTCCTGGACTCTGGAATGATTGAGAACGGATCCTGGCTCTCCTCTTTTATGTCTACCTTTCAAGTCTTTGAACAATGCAATCCTACGTCCCCTACAAGGTATGCAAATCTGTGTCGCTGTTTGACCTCGGGCACAGCGTGGGCCAAAGTGGAAGGGCTACCAACGTGGGTGACCCAGAAGGGGATGCTCGAGAAAGTGGGGTCTGCACTTAAGTGAAAAATGTGACACAGCAAGAGAAGTCGGGGCACCGATTGCAGAAAGCCAGCCACCAAGTGCCTGCCGTATGATATTCACCAACAATGATGCTTATTGGCATAATATCAGCATCAGCATCATTCCAATTATTTATCTTCAATAAAGAACTGAAGTTAGAGAATTGGAAAAAAATTAAGAAAATACGGACACTTAACAACAGAAATAATTCGCTTGTAGATGAAACACGTTTCAGGGCTCCCTGGGAATCATCAGGGTTTTGGAAACAAAACTGTGGAATTTTATAAAATTTTACAATTCTCTGCAGATCTCAGAAATAACCCCATCATAGTTGAAAAAAACAACAACAACAGCAATATTACGAACAGCATAGGTATTATGCTGACATTTAACTGATTTTAGTTAAAACTTGCAAGTGTTATATAATGCCAGTCAATGCTTTTTAAAAAACGTTTGTCTCTTTTTTGACTGTGTTTCATATTTTCAAATATTTTTATCACCACCACCATCAAACTGCACTGGTGGAAGGGACCCTAGAAAGAAGGGTTACTATGATTTCTGATCTGGGTTACAGGGGATCAGGGGAACAGGACGGGCGTCTCTGTGAGTAAACCAGACTGGAAGAGTAAAACTGAGGAATCTTTCTGCACAGATGAAATTGGAGAAATGCAGTGCCTTTCAACATCTGCCACAACAAGGAAAGGAAAGGAAAGGAAAGGAAAGGAAAGGGAAGGGAAGGAAAGGAAAGGAAAGGAAAGGGAAGGGAAGGGAAGGGAAGGGAAGGGAGGAAGGAAGGAAGGAAGGAAGGAAGGAAGGAAGGAAGGAAGGAAGGAAGGAGTTGATGATGGATGGAAGGAGAAACTGAATCTCTCCATGCCTTCCTACTCAACTTCTTGCCAAACTGGAAGAGTCTTCCAGTTCCCTCTCAGCAAGTTCCAACCTCCCGTGGCAGGTAGCTCTCTCCGCCTACCTGTTCACCAGGTTGTTCAGCCTGCTCGCTTGAGGGATGGTCGAGTCCTCCCCGTTGGTGTTCATTTTGGTGGGTGACTGCACCCCCAACATCTCGGGCTCCATCGACGGCTGGCAAGCCAGCGAGGGCACGTAGGGCCGCGGGGAGAGGGTCCCCGGCTCGTTCTGCTCGGAGCCGTCCTGCTTAGCGCCTTGGTTGAGCGAGTTGAGGACGATGAACTTGTACTTCTTCCAGTTGCAGGCTTTGGGGTCGCTGGGGCTTTTGGCCGACAGAGGGGCCGAGCCCGGGCCGATGCAGGTGGCGTTCTTGCTGCTGCTGGACTCCGTGGGGGAGTTGGGCTGGCAGTCCGATTTCTGGGGACTCTGGGGGCTGACGAGGACCTTGCGATTGACCGGCGTGTTGGTCGGCTCAAAGCGCTGGCCAATCTCCTCTTCGGCCGGGGCCAGGTCTTCGTCCTTGCCCGAAGATTTGTCCAGAGCAAAGTACGCATTGTTACGGGCCAAGGGGGTGACAGGCTTGGGCCCTGCGGGGGCGCTATAGTGCACATCGGTTTTGACCTCTTCAGCTACCGCTTCCCTCGGAGAGGAGACCGCGCTGTGGCATATGCTAGGAGAGGCGTCGGCCACCGCCCGGGCGTACTCCGCGGTGCTCGTCCGGGACCCGCCGCATGGCAGGGCTCGCTCTCGGGGGAAAGGTTGGCCTCTCGATACATCCGAGAGGGGCATCCGTGACTCTCGCAACTCTTCATCCGAGAAGAGATAACCGCCGACAGGCATGGTGTTGTATCCAGTGTAGGAGAGAGGGGATCCCGAGAGTCCGCCGTACAAGCCGGGGACGAAGGCCCTCCCGTCGCAAATCGGCCCGTTCCGAAGAGGCAAGCTATTGTCCGACATTTCCCTCGGCCTGTACGCCATCATCTCCGGGTGGCTCAGCATCCGGCCGGCCAGAAACTCTTCCCGAGGAGCCTTCACAGCCGACACCATTTCTGTTTCACTGAACGCAGCAAGAAGCATGGGAATGATGGAGGGGGAGAGAGAGAAAGAGAAAAAAAGAGAGAGGCTTAACCATCATTTAGAGATCACGGGCCCTGCTGTGGGAAATAATGCCCATCCTTCTCTTTGACAAACAGGCTGGTTTGGGAAGAGCCACGCGGGCAAAAAAGAAAACAGCCAAGGAGTGGGAAATCGACTGAATCATGTAGGCCTAGAGATGGGGAAAGCCACACTAAAAAGCACCACCTATTTTCCCATTTTCCTCTGATCAAGACAGCCCCTCTCGTGTCCCTCCTCCTGGCCAGAGACACCGAAGTCCTGGATCACTGTGGGACATACTTTGGGACAGTTGGCGCTCACTTCTCCATTTGGAACAGATGGGGGTTTTTTTTTTGCTTCATGCTTTCCATGATAGAGAACATAACATCTGAACTCTTGTTGTTAAAGAAACACTGGCTGGATAGCTCAAGGGTTTAAGGCCTCTGGCTGCAGAGCCTAAAGGTTGGGAGTTCCAATTTTCCCCACTGGGCTTCCTGGGAGAAAAGCCAGCCTGGGTGGCCTTGGGCCAGCTGCACGGGAGTCCCAGGGATCCCCTCCCAGAAGAACGGAACAGGTAAACCACTTCTGGGAAACCCTGGAAAAGGGTTGCCGTAAGTCAGGATTCATTTGACATCTGAACAGGTAAACCACTTCTGGGAAACCCTGAAAAGGGTTGCAACGAGTCAGGATTTATTTGACATCACATGGTTATTATTAGTTAAAGAAACACAACAAGCCACACCGAGATAACATCCTTCGCCTTGGTCCAGAAATTGGCTGAACCCAAAAAGAATCTTTTATCCCTCCTTCTCTTGCCTATTTCTGACTCAGCGTTTCTGACAGCAATTTTGTCAGGGCAGGAGGTGTGTCACCTGACCACCCATCCTCATTCTACAACAGGAATTTTGTCAGGGCAGGAGGTGTGTCACCTGCCCACCCATCCTCATTCTACAACAGGAACGGGGAATACAGTGGTGCCTCGCTTAACGATTACCTCATTAAATGATGAAACCGCTGTATGATAACTGTTTTACGATCGCTTTTGCAATCGCAAAATGATGTTTTAATGGGCAAAATTTGCTTCCCAACGATCTGTTCCCTGCTTTGGGAACTGATTTTTCGCTAGACGTTTTTAAAACAGTAGATCGGTGGCTCTAAAATGGCCGTCTGCTGTGTAAAATGGCTCCCTGCTGTGTTTCTGGACGGATTCCTCGCTTTACAGGCACCGAAAAGGGCCACCCCTATGGAGGATCTTTGCTGGATGATGAGTTATTCAGCGTATTGGAACGCACTGAACGGGTTTTCCATGCATTTCAATGGGATTTTTTATTTCGCTTAACGAGGATTTTGCTCTACAGCGATTTCACTGGAACGGATTATCCCCGTTAAGCGAGGCACCACTGTATGTGAACCTCCAGATGCTGCTGGACCCCATCCCCCCCATCATATTTCACCCTCAGAGATGCACTCATCACCCATCTCCAAAGAACAATTATTTTACTCGGAGCTCCTCGGCATGAGGAGTCCACGCTGAGGAGATGGAGGCTCTCGACGCTGGGGAAAAGCTCACCTGGAGTTCAGAAGCCTCTGGCAAGTATCCACCACGTGCTCCATCTGCAAGTAAAGGGCGGTGGTCATGACCGCCATGATGCTGCCTTCCCGCAGGTTGAGACGGGAGGTGTACATGAAGTCCAGGAGGATTCCAAACCCTTCAGGGTTGATCTCGGGATCCAAGGTGATGATGTTCAAATTGCACTTCAGCTGANAGGCGTAAGAAAGGGCGGGTGGGGGGGGGGGAGGGAATAAAGCAAGAATCAGAAAAGGCGTCCCCAGCCACCTTATTCCATCATACAATCTTCTGCCTAGGTAAAATGGAAAAATCTGCAGCTCCCCACACCGTGTCATAAAAACCCACTTGGAAGTCAGCCCCATCAACCTTGACCTTTTCAGAGTGTGCAACCAAAAAAGGTCAACCCCACTGTTATAACCTCGAGGTGGTTTCCAGGACACGCAAGAATGGGCTCAAGGTACTGGAAGGTACTGAAATTTCGGCTGAATATCAGAAAAAATGTCTTAACTGTTGGAGCAGTACGACAATGGATCCCATCCCCTCAGGATTGAATATCAGGAAAAAATGTCTTAACTGTTGGAGCACTACGACAATGGAACCCATCCCCTCAGGATGGAGGTGGTGACCACTCCAAGGCTGGAGGCCTTTAAGAGAAAATGGGACCACTCCTCTGCCAGATCTCCTTTGGCTTGGATTCCTGCCTTGAGCAGGGGGTCAGACTTGATGGCCTTTAGATGCCCCTTCCCACTCCTTGAGTCTAGGATTCTTCAGGACCAACGTAAAGCGGGATGTCTAGTCTGCTCCTAGTTTGGTCAAAGGACAACCTGCGGGCTACAGGTGGGTTCTCATGTGCACCCACGGCCCATCAGCATCCTCACCCCAATTTAATTTTTAACATTTTTCACAAAGTCCCTTTGCGCTTTCTGCAAAACCTCAGCCACGCCCTACATCGCACCCGCCGCCCTGTGCCCCTGCACTGTGTGTTTGCAAAATTTGCAAAGAGGGAAAGAGTTTCATGCTGAAAATGTTTGATTCTGGGAGAAAAAATGAATTCATTCCATTTCCGTCCTTCTGAATCCCAGATGTAAGAGAACATGTAAGGCAGCGCCCTCTGAATTTGACCCGTGAAGATGGGTAAAGGTTTTATCTCCGTTCCTCTCGTGGAGAATTTGCCTCAATTCTCGTCCCGTAGGTTTGAGACAGAATCTGAGCATCTGAACATCTGGGAGTGTGCGTGAAACTGACAGGTTTGGCCCAACTCAACGGGCGCAGAGGGGGGAACCTCCCTGATCCTCACCTGCAGGCCATCAAGACGGTCTTGTGGGCTCGGAACTGCTCCCGGTTGACGATAATCACGACATCTGTCAGAATGTCCCTGCTTCTAAGGCGGTTGAGATTGAGGAGGACGTCGCTGGCGTGTCGGGTGAACTGGATGCAACTCTCCGCCGGAGACGCCATCGTGGGTCCACCTGCTGTGGAAAGAAAGCGGGGAAGACCTTGTCAGCACCTCAGAGGAGCCCCAGCAACAGATGCTTCTACCTGGAAGGAATTAATATGTGTGGGAGGTGGGGGCAGGGGCACACTATTTAGGGCCTTAACCCATGCCCTTGGATCCGGACCTCACAGGCTTCCGGCATGCCTGCTTGGAAACCTTTTAGTCTAGAAGCCCATCCAAGCAGAAGTCCTTGAAGGGTCGCCAAGCATGTCAACAGCAAAGCCTTCCAAGGAAAAGGAGATGACTTGGAACTGCATAGAGGCCATGCAGCAGCTCATGACATGGCAGCGGAAGCCAACCACAAAGACGATGGCTGTTCATTGTAGCCCAACCACAGAGTTAAGCCCAGTGTTGCTGCTGCACCAAATGGAAGAAGGCCTTCAACTCTTAGTCTCACTCTGTAGGTCTTCTGTAGTCATGACGTTAGTCTTCTTAAACATTCAACTGTAGTCCTGCTTTGGCACTTTCTTCTTTCACTTTCTTCAAAAGTCATCTCAAGGGATTGGGGTTTTCTACCCATACAAGGGTGTCAACGGTATTATCTTAAATCATTGGCCTTTCTTTCACCAATTTTCACTCTTTCTTGATCTGAATCTAGTCTGGCTTTCTGTCTGATCGACTCTGCACACCTACTGAACCGATGAAATGCACCCACAGCTCACACTTTGGCCTACAGGAAACCACTCTTGTTTTTCCATATTCTGTCTTAAGGGTAGCTAGCTGTTTTTATTTTAGCTTGACTGTTTACAAGTCGGGGCTTCATCCCGAGGTCTGAGAACTGTATGTGCTTTTTTTTTTTTAAAGTGGTGTTCTAGAAATGTATTATAAACTAAAATGACAACCCAAGAATGCCAGGTCCCTCCCTCCAAGCAAGGGTTACTGTGTCTGGAAAGGCACCTTTAACATCAGAGTTGCGTGCCAACAGCAGCCACCCCACCCAGCCCTTCAGTTCCCATCCACCAGAGATGAAGATGTCAAGTTTTTTTTGTCAAGGCAGGCAACTCTTCTGAATACAGCTTCCCGCCGAGCCTCATAAAAACCCTCCCTTTTGTACATTTTTTTTTCAAAAGAAGCCAGCTGGGAAATTACCTTGTGTTTCAATTCACAGTCCAAGAGTTTCTGTCAGACCTAGGTGGACGGAAAGGAGGAGAAGGGAGAGAGAGAAAAAACACAGTGAGTACAAAGCAAACCAGAGCCACAGAAACCACAGGACATCCTAGAGGCAGTTTTGCAGGATGCGACCCCAAACGCCGGCAGCTGCAAACGCCCACAGCTGTGTTGATGACCACTGAAGGTGGCAGGATCACGGCCAGCTCTTTATTTCCAACAGAATGTGGTGGGTGGGTGGGTGTGTTAGGAGAATGAAGGCAACTGTTTGTTACACACTCCGTAATTGATTACTGCATTATTATTATTATTATTATTATTTGCCTTTATAATTTCTTTTCATTTGTGTGTGTGACATCAAGTCGATTCCCCAATTTAGGATAACCTTTTCCAGGGTTTCCTTAGTCTAGATACAGTGGTGCCCCGCTAGACGCTTTCCCCACTAAACAATGAAATCGCTTGACGATGACTTTTTTGCGCTTGCTATAGCAATTGCAAAACAATGTTTCCAATGGGCAATTTTCGCTTCACAATGATTTGGTCCGTGCTTCACAGACTGTTTATTCACAAGATGACAATCTTTACAGCTGATCGTCGGCTCGCAAAATGGTTTCCCGCTGTTTTCCGGACCCATTCTTCGGAAGACAGCGATCGCAAAATGGCCACCTATGGAGGATATTCACAGGAGGATCAGGTATTTTCTCCATTGGAATGCATTAACCAGTTTTCAATTCATTCCAATGGGGATTTTTTTTTGCATGATGACGATTTTGCTGTACAGCGATTTCAGGGGAATGAATTATCGTCGTCATGCGGGGCACCATCCGGACCCATTCTTCGGAAGACAGCGATCGCAAAATGGCCACCTATGGAGGATATTCACAGGAGGATCAGGTATTTTCTCCATTGGAATGCATTAACCAGTTTTCAATTCATTCCAATGGGGATTTTTTTTTGCATGATGACGATTTTGCTGTACAGCGATTTCAGGGGAATGAATTATCGTCGTCATGCGGGGCACCACTTATTGAGATGTGACTTCTGAATCCCCTTTTCTGGTGGCTCCATAAAGACCACCCTGCAGCTGGGCCCAGAGCTCCACAGGCTGGCTCTTTCTCCCACGAAGCCCAGAAGCGAAGCAAACTCCCAGCATCTGGCTCCACAGCCAGGGACCGAACCCACGGACCTATCCAGCCCGCACTTATAATTAGTTCCTCTATAGGCTCTGACCCGAGGTTCAAACTGACTAACTGGAACAAAGAAGAGAAAAATCACCCGCTGTACATTTTCTGACTTCTGCAAAAGTCTTCCCAGAAAAGCAGAAACCACACCATTTGAATAAGGCGTTTCACTCACAAGACGCAGGTATTTTGATTTCAGAAGGTAATTTGGCCTCCATCCGCCTGTCTTACTCTCTTAAGTTGTTTGCTTGTTTGTTTTTATCCCGCCTTTCTCCCCCCCCCCAAAAAAGGGCCCAACATGGCTTACATCGTTAAAAACAGCATTTCAAAGCTCAAAACAGTAAGTATATGAAATATTAGTAAAGGACGGAACAGGCATTATATTAAACCGGCAACTGAGATCAATATGAAAACACCTTTAAAACAACCGAGCACAGCCGTCCGTTTAAAATCCCTCCCATTAAGGAAAAGCCTGCCTGAAGAGAAAGGTTTTATGTTTTTAATTCTATTCCTTTGACTATCGTGAGCCGACTTTTGGGTCCCCTTATCAGAAGAACATCTATCAAACAAACAAACAAATTAATAAAGTGAAAAACACTCAACACTCAACTGCTTTGCAGTCCTACAGGTTTGGTTTGTCTGAGGAAGGGAGACACGATCCAGGTCACCCCGGGAGCCAGTGTCAAGGCACCGTTTGCCTAAGGACTTGGGTGTGGTTTGCTGGGACCCAGTGGAAGGAAGAAACAGAAACATCGCCCCATGTTTCAAGATAATGATGATTATTTTCTTAAATAAATATCCCAGGTCTGCTTGGGCTTTTCAAACCAGCCTTGGGACAGACTCCCTCTCTTTCCAGCACCGGATTACACCTCTCAGTAAAATGCCCCATAAAATCTCGGTGGCGTGGCTCTTTTGATCGGGGCCATAAAACCAGCCCCACTCCCCCGTAGGAGAAAATTGGGGAGGGGATCTCTTAATTGGCATCAGTAAAATGTGCACCATTCAGACGCCACCGCCGAGACACGAAAGACTGCATGCCAAGCCTACTACATGCTCTGGAAACCCAGATAATAATGGCAGCCTCCAACCTCTTGGGCAGCCCTATTGGGCGGGGGGGCTTCTGGATCTCAGCATCAATGGCAAGGAAGCCCCCGAACACCTGCCCAGATGTTCCCGGCTGAATCTGCCAACTAGAATCATAGACCCGTCACGTCGGAAGGGGAGCCCAGGGGCCAAGCCCGAGTCCACCCACGACAGAAAATCCACGGCCAAAGCATTCTGGATGGATAGCCATCCAACCTCTCTTGGGGGAAAAAAGGATAATGACGAGGCGTCCGCCACCCACTCATCCACCACACCAGAGCTTGGGGGGGGGGAATGCCTGTTTTGAAGTAACCCTCCCATCGTCCCCAGATGGCAAGGATCCTAAAAGTTTGGAAGAAACGAACGTTTTTGTGCCTTGAGCACATCTCGCTTCCCGTGGCACGAGCAAACAATAGCTTCTTCCCCTTTGCTGCTGCCACCCAACCCATTTTCTGGCTCCACCAGACTCTGGAGACAGCAGCAGCTGGTGGACGAGGAAAGTCGTCGTCCCACCATTTTCTTGGGAGGCCAACACCAAGAATCCTCCCAGAAATGCTTGTGGACCTACAACATGTGTGCATGTGTGTTGAAGACCCATTTATATGTGCATGCATACACACACACACACACACACACACACACACACACACACACACACACACACGTGTCTGCAGTGTTGTAGTCCAAAATATTAGATAGACATATAAGCCACCTTATGACAGACAGACAGACAGACAGACAGACAGACAGACATATAGATAAATCGATAGATCGATCTCTGGAGGTAAAAATGTTCAAACACAGGCATGTCATGAAACAGCAGGATTTTCTGGAAAAGACCTAAATTCTGGGGAAGTTGAAAGACAGCAGGAAAAGAGGAAGACCAAATATGGGATGAATGGACTGACTCCCTCAAGGAAGCCACAGGCTTTACAAGAGCCGAACAGGGCCGTTGAGGGCGGGACCTTTTGGGGGTGGCTCATTCATGGGGTTGGCATGAGTTGGAGGTAACTTGTGGGTACAGAAGAAGGACCTCCTTGTCTATCAGGCACAGTTTGAAGAAGTCTCTTCTGCCCCCCGTTTTTTGGAAGGCAAATCTCAGAACTGGGAATTGATTGATTGATTGATTGATTGATTGATTGATTGATTGACTGATTGACTGATTGATTGAATGAATGAATTTATATCCCACCCATGTAGTCAATAGACTACTCTAAATCTGCCATTCCTGAGACTTGGAGCCATGACATTTCCTGTTGGGATGATGAGCTTTGTAGTTTTCTATGTCCAAATGACATTAGAGATCCCATGAGTCTACCTGTAGATGGAGTCAAGAGCATGTATTTCAAACTCAAATAAACAAGTTAAATTCTTCCTCGGTGTAAAGGAATAAAGACTATTATGCATTAAAAACTATTGGGAAATTTTCACAGTAAAGAATGTGTTAAGAATATTTGCAAAAACAAGATAGGACTTTTGATTAATAGTGATGGAGGGAATGTTTTCAAATTACAATTTGCAGCACAAAGAAAAAACTATATTGTGTTATAATAATGATGGTGTCCCATCATTTTCTGTACTTGTTTTCTTGGAAAAAATCAATTTAAACTTAATTACTTTAAAATTTATACACACGGGGGGAGCGGAGAGCGACCAGCCAGCCTTCCCGATCGAGGTGGCCATGCTCCCGGTGCGCTCTGATGCTCACAGGAGCTGATGGAGCGGTTCCATCAATGACGGGACGCTCGGGGCCAGGAGGGTAAAAATGCCAGTGCACTTTCTCATCGATGCTTGAGGTCAGAAAGAGATGGTGGGAATATCTCGCATCTGGCAACCAAGAGGAGCCCCCAACATCCGCTAATGGACTACGTAGCCTCCGGTGAATTGCTGTCCTCTGTAAAAGCTCCTTTGCTGGATTCAGTTTGAACTTTTGCTGTTTGGAGTGGAAACCTCCAGCCCACCTCTTCTTGGAAGACCAGCACATAGGCTCGTACAGATGCTGTCGGTCTCTGGCGTGCACGGCTGGGTGCCTTGGGCTGGTGGGGGTCGTCCTGATGGGGAGGACGGCAGTCCACTCTCAGTCCCACACTCTGGGAGATGGGAGTCACAGAAACCAGATTTCCCAAAGGGGATCTAGCTGGTCCCGGGGGAAACGGAAGACAGAATGTTGGGACAGAGAAGCTGTGGGTCCCTGCCCGCTTCCTGGAAAGAATCCATAACCCTCCTGACAAGGACCCGTTCATAGCTTTGTTGTCCATGGGTTTCTCTAACACCCAGTCAAACCCAGGCCAGCTGGCAGCTATTGCTAGATCCTGCAGCAGTGAATTCCAGAGTTGAACGATGGGCAGGATGAAGCGGCGTCTTCTATCATGACTCTTTCCATGATAGCACTTTGCAAGACCATAAAATCATGTTGTCGAAATGGACCTGAAAGGCCATGGAGCCCAACACGCTGCTCGAGGCAGGAATATAGATCGGATCGGATCTGACCCCGGGTTGTCCCATTTTCTCTTGAGTGCCTCCAGCGTTGGGCGCCTCTTGAGCTGACCCTCAGGTCATGGGTTCCATTGTCGTACTGCTCTAACCGTTAGGAAGTTTTTCCTGCTGTTCAACCTTAGCTTGGGATGACCCAAGGTTCTAGACAGAACCACTCAATGCCACCCTGAACGCATCAGGCCCAGCTGATTTCAGAAGCAAAGCAGGTTGAGGCCTGCTTAGAACTTGGACGGAAGACCACCAGAGGATCTCCTGATCAGA